TTCAGCTTTGCTATCACAGGAATAAATTACATTTTTAAATATATTAAAATAGGAAACAGTCATTTTAAATTAAAATATTTCACAACATTACTGGTTTTACTGTTTTCTGAATAAATAAATGTAGCCTTGGTGAGCATAAGATACTTTTTTTTGGATAAACATTACAAAAATCTTACCAACCCCAAACTTTTCAACAGAAGTGTATGAGCTGTCAGTCGCTAGCAGACGTTCTTCTTCAACTTCTGGTTGCCTTACAATACTGGTGGGCTGCAAAACGAGCCACAGCTATTGAACTTCGCTGCTGTTAAAAATGTCACTTTATTTATTTATTTTGACAATTACACTTTTTTGCCACTAAAAATTAACACTGTGGAGGGGAAGCGTTCATGTAAATTGCAGGAATATCATCTATGATTAAACAAGATGAGAATAATGAGAAGGAGAATATATGCTCTTTGCGCATGCCACCTCTGACTATCAGCTCTCATTGAAAACATTTGCTGCAAATCAAAGTGAGCAAAGCTTAATATGTTCCATTTAAACATGTAACCATCCTTCAGGAAGCACCTGAGTTGTTGAAGTCCAGACAAATGATGGTGTCTCCTGCAGCAGGCACCAACACAGTAAGAGCCTCAGGCTCCTCTTTCAGCTTCTCATAAAGATCAGAGCTCTCCACGGGACACTTGAGGCTTTCTGGCTTGAAGAGTTTGAGTATGTCCACCTCAGAGGCCTCATCTTCCATCTCCTGGTTCTCTTTCTCCTCAGCCTCGGGCTCTGTCACAGTCTGCTGCAAGGACAGGACAACATCCCCATCCACAATGCCACTGGATGGGACAGAATGGTAAAGTTGAATTATGATCAGACACATTTGTATACACACTAAATACAGCAAAGAACTTTTCACAATATTTTGCTTCTATAAAACCACTGGTCCACTAAAGATGTGACAAAACTGGATTTGTACCTGAGAACGTAGTTGACGCACACAATGCACTGCGGCTGAGAATTCTTGGGGTTGTAGATAACGGTGGCCTGAGTCTCCACCCACACAAAACCACCTTTCCTGGCCAGCATGCGGTACTGGCCTGTGGTGGCCTGGCCCTTGGCGAACACTGGGAAAAACAACACTCTCCAATCAGAAGTATTCCACAAGACATCTTTTGTAACAGTTTTGCACGTTAAAGTGAAACCTCTATCATGATCAGGTATGCATTCTGTCCAGGCACTCACAGTTGTGATGTGTCTTGGTGAGGTGATCTGAATCCAGGGCATGATAGTATTCGTACACAGACCTG